TCGTTGGTCTTACAGGCTCCTGCCAGCATGCAGCACACACCAATCTCTGCCACTTTAAGATACAGTAAATGTATGGCAAACACTCACACAGTCAACTGTACATGCTTACTGTTAACGGATATGCCCGAGGCATGTTTCCATCAGGACAGTTCCAACTCTGTTATCCACTTATGGAGAGGAAGAGATACAATATGGATAAAGGAAATATAGTTAAGAGTTTAATATTTAAAGAACAACGTGGCCGTAAATTAGAATTACATTTCTGAAAACAACCTAAAGTTGTGTTTGATAACATGAACCCTAGATTATTCTGCTATATCCAACGTAGATGCCGTATATTTATTTGGACACCATCAGTACAGTTAAAGTAATGTCTTGCAATGGTTAACCATTTCTGAGAACAAGTTAAATTATTAGGACATTGTAGCGGAGCACTTTGGGTAACTCAGGAGATGGATCAGGTCATCTACTAATTGGGATGTTGATGGTTCAATTCCTGGCTGTTCCAGCCAAATATCCTTGGGAAAGATAACCTGATGCATCCACTGGAGTATGAATGTGTTTGAATGTTAGATAGAAAAAAACTTGAATAGAAAAAAGCACTTGAGTGAATGGGCGTGATCGAGGTACTTTGTATAAAGGGCTTTGAGTCCTCAGGTAGAGTAGAAAAGCACTATATAAGAACCTCACTAGAAGTTTGTAGACTGAATAATCTCTCCTTCATTCTCAAGGATCCACCGAGGCAGGAAGATGACATGGAAGTGGCTCGAGCTGGTCAGGAGCTGAACCAGGAAGTAAATCGCCTAATGGTGGCAATGAGGGACATGCTGGCAAATATCCGGTTTCAGGAGCCACCAAGAGAGGACAACCCCTACAGAGATGATGATGAATGGGACTGAAAGAGGAGATAGAGGTGGACTAAGTGATGGATGAAGAGGAATAAAACTGAAAAAAAAAAAGCGATGTTAATAATTACAAGGAAAATAAGTTGGACAGCTGGATATTATTTTGTTGTCATAATTTCAGAATATTAGACTGATTTTAAAAAACAAACACAAATACTACTGGGGTAATGTAGATGGATGTGAACCTGGCACACTTTGTTCCAAGCTCAGAAAGCAGATTGTTAGTTGGACCTGTCGTGTTGCCAAGGTTAAGTGTATTATTTATAATTATTAGTTCCATAATCAGTGTCCAAGCATTGTCAGTTCAGCAGCACTAACGGATAATAAGTCCTGCTTTTCTTCCTCTGGTTTCTGGCTTTCTGAGAGTTTTTCATTTTCTCTCATAAACACCTGCAGTGGAAGCTTTACGAAGCTAGAGTGAGATTCATGTAGTCTCATTCTGAGTGCAAGTTCTAAAGCAAACTGCTGCTTATCTGCACTTTAATACATATACACACAATCATAAAATTTTTATTCTCATTGATTTGATCACTCCCAATAAAAACAAACTGAAAAATCCTTTGAAGTTTTCTTGAAGGCTAAAATGATTACTTTTTTTTTTAACTTGAATATTTTAATGCGTAGCTAGTAAAGCATTTTAAATTGATCAATTCTGTTTTTCTAAAAAGGAAACTGCCTTTTCAGGCAGTTAGTCATGCCATCCATTTAGGTCTTATTTATAATTTGAACTGAATTATAGTTGATGCACATCCAGGCATTCGTATGTGCAATTCTTTTATTTTTGCAGGGATTCTGTAGCCATAATAATCTTACTGTGAGACTTCTATGATTTTTCGGCTGAATAATTAAGAAGTTCCAAAATATAACGGGGGCCACATGAAAAAATGTAAAGTGTTTTGACTCTTGGTAATAAATTTAATCAAACGGAGTCATTTCTGATGACAAACAGTACCACACGAACCTCAGCAAGATCCTGCTCGGCCTGATGACGCACTTCTGTTGTGACCTGTTGCAAAAAGCATGAAAAGGTCTTCCACATACACACCTGACATCATTTTAAGCATCCTTAAACATGATAAACTAGATTTGTTTTGTCTTTCTGGTCTTCGTGGTATTTTCTACTCACTGTCTTAATCATCTTGGCTACTGTTTTTGGTTTGTTTAAATTCTGCTGCTTTCTTTCTCTAATATTCTTATTACCTCTCAGACTTCAGCACAGATTCTCACATTTCAGTTTCAGTTTACTTGCACTTATTGACAACGCAGCTATGGCAGATGTTTTCATTTTTATCTCTTAAACTGGTAATTAAATGAACTCTTTTCTGTGTACACTCAGATTCTCATGACCTCACTTGATTATGCTCATTCCATGCACACTAAATCTGAAGCAGTAACTATGCTTCTGTTATCATCAGTGATATTTATCGTTTTTAACTTGTGCTTATTATTTTTTTAACACTCTCCAACTGTTGCCCTTTCTTCTCAGTGTCCTTTCATGTTATCCATGGGAGACGATTCACCCCATTTATGCTTTACAGTCACTGTTCAAACATTTTTTTTTCAATACAAACACAAATGACGAGCTAGCCTGAGGTCTGTTACTCTCAGTCAAAGGACAAAATCATTGCGAGATGCTGTACACGCTTGAAACATACCTGCTTACTTTGTGTTCCAATGAGCCGCAAGGATGTGGGTGACTGTGCTAGATGGTCAAATGAGGTCATTGTTCCTAATTCACTTGGAGCTATGGGTGTTGTTGTGAAAACTTTTCATGTGATCATTCTGCTGTATTGAAAGCGCTTTCAGATTAGCGGCTCAGAGGCTGCTTGATGGGACTGCAGTATTACCACTGGTGCTGTGGGTTAAATGTAACCAGTTGCCATAACATAATTTAACAAAAACACATAGAGCAAATTGAAATTCCTGAAAAAAATGAATGCAGAGTTGCAACAAATTTTTCTTTTCTTCGATAAAATATTTGTGCAACTTACTTGATTTCAGAATTGTTTTTTCGTAGTCACACGACTACGTGTGACCCCTGATATTTTTGTCATTATATAAATTAAATGACACGGCAAATCCTCAAATTTCAGAAGCTGGACAGAAGCCGGTCTGCTACTTTTTTTGTGACGTGTTTGCCTGCATGACTTGTCACTTTTGATAATACAAATGAATTTGAAACCACATAAACATGCTCAAGAAGTTGAAGTTGAAATTATTAAATTTGATTTAACAAATTGTGTGGATATGTATCAAAGTTACTGTGCCGTTAGCTTGAGAAGCAAGTTTAACCACAAACAGCACGTTTGGCTCTATGAACACAAAGATTTTCACTTGCACATTTGTCTTAAAGCTATTTAAGACTTATTTTTAATGGAAATCATTTTTAAGCACAGGTAGATGTGTGGATTTTGTCCTGGATTACTTAAGCCTTAGATTTCATATTTAATGTTTTCACAATATGTACCTGGTCAGACTGACCCAGGGCAAGAATTGCCTCACAGTGTCTACACCAAATCTAGAATTATGCATCTGTTTAGATTTTTTTTTAATAGCATAATTGTCATTTGTAGATTATTGTCCTAAATTAATGTTTAGGTTGAAGTTTTCCAACCGTTTTTTGTTTCAGAGAAAGATCTTTACTATCACACAATTTCCTTTGTTGTTAAGACATCATTAAAGAGTTTTCATAACTTACCATCCATAATTATTTAAAGATGATTTAACAAAAATAAAATTTAAAAAAATATTGCAAAGCAGTGAAGGGGAGCCTTGCATGTGTGGCAGTTGCACATGTGTTTCCCACACTCACTGAATTAGCAGCTCAGGTGAATTTTATGACACCCCAAGCCCTCATTTGGTCACAGTTAAATCAGAACAAATGGATTCTGACTGTTTTTAGATTATTTAGTTACATTGCAGGTGCTTGTGCTTGCAGGAGCAGATGCTGTGTCTATGTTAAGGGACCAACTTTGTTCCCTACTTGCACCTACTTCCTCCGTCTGCAGGAACCTGGGCAAATAGGATTTGAGCACAGTGTCAAGATCCCTCTTGACCCCTCTCTTTATTACTGTCTCAAAAAAAATACACACAGACATGGCGTGTGCATCTTTATATGTGCAGCTGTTTTTAAAATGAGAATATCTAAGAACAAAACAGGAGGCTAACTACGAGTAAAGATTTAAATCTGCTTTCCAGAAAGTATAATGCAAGTTTTCAGAGCTTTTTCTTTTTTAGTTTTCAAAAATTATATTTTGGACACCAAGACTCTGATTAGAATAATATTAGCGGAAGTGAAGCATTTTCTTAAAGCAGAAAGGAAAGTGTTAAAAAAAAACAGATCGAACTATTACTGAATTCAATCCATCACCGTTCAGCTCTCTCCCAAGAAAACTTGGCACAACTTTCGCAGACAGGACCGCAGCGCAGCTGACGCTTGTGAGGAGGAGCCGCTTGAAGTCATTCAGGACGCAGCATCACTGTGAGAAATAATCCGGCATCTCTCTCTCTCTCTCTCGTTCCCAGTATACTATAGACAGTGTTCATTGCCACTGTGCTGGTCAGAACAATGTGAACTAATGGAAGGATTCTGGTGGATCGGCTGCTCTGTTTGAGGAAAAAACGTGAACTCGGAGTGCAAGATTGCAGCGGAGAAGGAAAGATTACAGATGCCCATCTCGGAGCAGCTGGTTGGATGGGGCGAAAAATAATAATAAAAACTCAATAGGCTATAATAAAAATAAAAGGATTACTCGAGTCAAGAAACTCACTTTTCACCGGGACCAACGCGGTAGCTCGCCGATTATTTTTCAGGCTATTTAATGGTTGAAATAAATATAAATACATATACTTGAACTTTTTGCGTGGAGTTTGATGATCCTGGACGGTTGAGGCTTCCATGGGTTTAACAAACAGTTCGGATGAGTTGCTTGAATCCCCAACCTGCTCAGAAGCAAGCTGTAACTGCGACAGCTGATGTAGAAGCATCCTCTAAGCTCCAGAGACAGCTGATGAAGGTTCCTTACCCAGTTTAAATCTGTGCTGCAGCAGCCTAAAACCCACACGGAGCACCTGAAAAGCTAAAAGCTTGCAGTTACCTAATAGAAGGCAGACATGGAAATGACCAACGGGTCCCTGCAGTATCCCTCCATACTTCACACGGACTTCGGACCGCTAAATGACCTTCTGGAGGAGAACGAAACGAACTCAACCGCAGGAGAGCGAAACTGGCTGAACTGCGTTCAGATCCGGGTCCCTCAGGAGCTCTTCTTGGCACTGGGACTCATCAGTCTGGTGGAAAACATCTTGGTCATCATGGCGATTATTAAAAATCGAAACCTCCACTCGCCCATGTACTACTTTATCTGCTGCCTGGCCGTGTCTGACATGCTTGTCAGCGTCAGCAACGTGGTGGAGACCATATTCATGCTTCTCAATGACCACGGCCTCCTGGATGTGAACCCCGGCATGCTTCGCCACCTGGACAACGTCATCGACGTGATGATCTGCAGCTCCGTGGTGTCCTCTCTCTCCTTTCTGTGCACCATCGCTGCCGATCGCTATATCACCATCTTTTACGCGCTGAGGTATCACAGCATCATGACCCCTCATCGCGCCATCATCATCATCGTGGTGGTGTGGCTGGCCAGCATCACCTCCAGCATCCTCTTCATCGTATATCATACAGACAACGCCGTCATCGTGTGCCTCGTCACTTTCTTCTGCACTACTCTGGTATTCAACGCCGTGTTATACCTGCATATGTTTGTCCTGGCGCACGTGCATTCTCGGCGCATCGTGGCTTTCCACAAAAACAGGCGCCAGTCCACAAGTATGAAAGGAGCCATAACCCTCACTATCCTGCTCGGGGTCTTTATTTTATGCTGGGGCCCTTTCTTTCTACACCTTATCCTCATCCTCGCCTGTCCCACCAGCCCCTTCTGCAACTGTTTCTTTCGAAACTTTAACCTTTTCCTCATCCTCATCATCTGTAACTCCCTCATCGACCCGCTTATATACGCGTACCGGAGCCAGGAGCTGCGTAAAACCTTGCAGGAGATGGTCCTGTGTTCGTTTTGCTTCGGCGTGTGATATCATGGACATTCCTGAACAAAACCGAGCGCAACACAACATTCTTCCTCTGTCTTCAACATGTCCGAAGATAGAATAAGACACAACTGATATATGTTTATACATGCAAATGTTGCCCGTGCGCGAGTGCACATGGCAGCTGAAGACTGTCACACTGCAAAAATTTGATAAATAGAACTGGCTTCCGTTTTAGCTGTAAATTTATTTATTATTGCGTTACGCTTTTTTTTGTTCTTCACTGGGAAGCTTGTGAATAATCTCGTAAATCAGTCAACAGTTTCACAACACTACTTATTGGATCTGGTCTTAGTGGTTTTTTTCTTTCTTCTGTAAACGTGTTTGATTTTTTTTGTCTAAAAATGCCTCTTATGGTGGTCAAAATATGCTGCCTTAATTCTTTTTTAAAAAGGCGTTCAATTATTATAATTTCTTGAAAATAAAAAAGGAAGTTTACTTTCATTTTTAAAATGGCCAACAACAAAAGGTCGCTACCTTACATCTCTATCCCTTTTAAGATTATTTATTATTATTTCTGAATCAATATCTTAATTACATTTTTCTTTTAATGAATGATGTGCGTTGCAAGAATTAAAAAAAAAATAGAATCAGCGAATAATCTCTTAGTTACTGCAGCTCAAATGCAGATTATTTTATATATAGACTGTCTTTGGGAAAATGTTCAAGCATGGTGCAAACGGAGCAGGGAACGGATGAAACACAGCTTAATTGGAGGGGCGATCAGACTAAACCTTAAAATGACACTGTGTGACAAACTCCAAAATTACTGTTGCAAAAATAAACGCCAAATATCCCAGTGACTAAAAAAAAAGAAAAGAAAAAAAGGGGACAAAAATCACATGAACATGCTTGGTGGTAGGCCCGAGGCTCATGGCATGAGAGGGTTTATGAAAGAAGAAAGAAGCCATGTCAAAGCTATATTTCTGGAAGTTTGTGGGTTCTCTGAAATGCGCAAATAAGGGACAGTTTGGGCTGAAGTTTTTGTTATGTAGGACAGTCTAGGAAGGAACGGACTAAAGATCCATGATTAAAAAAATGTAATTAATTAACTTCATTGCATAAATTAATTATTAACATTAATAGTTTTAGTTGACGCATATATTCCATGGTGTTCTTTATTTATCCCACATAAGTGCTGGTAACAGGCCTGCATTTTGCACTCTTATCATTTTCTGTGGAAAAGATGAAATTCATCCATCTTAATTTAAACTCTGAAAAGTTTTAAATCCCCACATGATGGTGGGAAGAAAGGTTTCTGGGTTATCAAGCTGTCTGCCAACAGATAAATAAAGAAACCATGATAGCAACAATGCAATGTGTAATGTGAAGTTGTGCTCTGTGTAATGTTTTTGTTGTTGTTGTTTTTTAAAGATTAATTTTAGAACCCATTTTTTTCTTTTTTTTGTACACTTTGTTTTTTGTATACTTGATTTATTGGACTAGCTTTATTAGGATTGTTTTCAGAGTGCTGGCTCGATATAGAACTGATAATACACAACATTGTCATGTATAAGTCTTTAAGAAAACCTCTGTTAAAGATAATGACAGTCAGAGCTTCAGTATACAGCCACAAATAAACACGATTCCATACATAGTATAAAATGAAAATGTATAAATGTGGGTGTTTAACAAAAAAGAAAAAAAGAACAACTGTGTGCATCCAGGTCAACTTAAAATTGAGTAAAACAGGACTATGTTGTTCTGCATGTCATATGTATATGTATGTTAGTGGAATTGTTTACCTGTTTTCCCAAATAAAGGGGTCAAAACATACAAAATAGTTTGTGTTGAATCCAGAACAACAGTGGTATTGCTTAGTTATCATCTGTCCATCATAAAGTCAAGTATTTTTCATCTCATTATTATCTTCAGATTTTTGCACATTGCTTGTAAGCATTATTTGAAGTCTTTATTCATGTGCAAATGCCTCTGCAGTCAAATAAAGAACACGATATCCAGATTTTCAAATTATGGACAAATATGGTTGCTGTATTGCATTAAATGGTAAATGGTCTGTACTTGTATAGCGCTTTACTAGTCCCAAAGGACCCCAAAGCGCTTTACACATCCAGTCATCCACCCATTCACACACATTCAGACACTGGTGATTAAGGTAGAAATTGTCAGTGTATTGTATCTGTAGGTATCTCTGCAGCATCTGCAGACGACATTCTAACTTTAATTGCAGAGCTTTTAAAGTTTGCCTATTTATTTGCAACATGAACATTTTCTGGTTCACATTAACAAAAATATGCAAGGCAACGTTTGCTCTGGGCAGACAGTAGAGCCATTGATATACAACACAACAGAGGCGTTTTTTGAAATGCTCCATTTTTAAACTCATGATCAAGTTCATTTGCTGTGCCTTAAATAACAGCAATGAGCACAGGGGATTTCCAGTTTGAAAGAAAAAGAAAAATCCCTCATCCTGTCCTCAAGGAAAAAATTAAAAATCCTAATTGTTTAAGATGATTTAAAAAAAATTCTTGGCTTTTTTGTATGTCACCCACACGCACATTATTAGAGGGAAATGGCTCATTTTTCCATTTTATGAAAGAAATGGAGGGAATGCGTACAAGTAAAAATGTACATATGTCAGTTCATTAAGTGGACATTCTTATATACTGGTTTTCTACTTGAGCACTGAAAGTATCTATACAACATGTCTCATTCACCTGTTCACAAATTCATTCATACAAGCACCTTTTTCTGCTTCTAAGTGCTTTCTATCTAACATTCACACTCCTGAACATATCAGGAGTAACTTGAGGTTTGATATCTTGCTCAAGGGCGTTTTGGCATGCAGACCCGAGCAACCAAGACTCAAACCACAAAGCGACTAATAGATGACCTGCCCTACCTTCAGAATCACAGCCACCCCAGTATTATATTTGCAGTATAATTGTTTGTTTGTTTGTTTGTTTTTTTGGGGTTTTTTTTAAACTTTTGCTAAAATCTTTTCTTTCCAGTTAGATTTTCATATTGTAACAGTCCATAATTGTATTACATGCATTGGCACAGCCTAAATTTCAAAGAAACTTCAAGATGATGAAAGATAATCCCAAAATGAATGAATGCTATTCATTGTGATGGTTTGTATCTAAAAATAATTTATTACCCTTATTAAATAGTAATTTGTGAATGGTAGTTGCTTTGGAAGATTGTCTCACGGCTTTGAAACATTTGTCTCTCCTGCCAATCCCGTCTCAGATATTAAATAAATATTAGGGTTGATCACGACACGTGCTTCTCAGAGGAAAACTGACATGGACCAGAACACACTGACATCACTGTCAGTGACCTGTAATGATAACGTTGACCATGAACCCCAGATTCGTGACCATGAAAATAAATGAAAAATGAACCATATGTTATCTGTAGTGTCTCACTTAATTAGAATTACTGCTGATTAAAGGAAGGAAGAGACGTGTGACTACATAATTTCCAGGGAACAGCATGTTATTATTGGTGCTATGACTTCTGCCTTCATTTAGCCACACAACACAGCTCTGTTTGCAGTAAAGGAAAATCTCCACAGCTGCTTCCCCCAACAACAAACACACTCAAGCTATATCCATATGACCAGACCACAAAATGCCTACCCTCAGGGATGAATGCCAATAAAATATATTTTTAAAAGGTTTTTAATCAAATGATTTTGATTAGAAAATCTTTACAAACAAAACCTCCCATAACTGAAAATAGTGGATACTGAAAACTGAAACAATTATAAAATAGCATAAAGTAATGCAATAGTTCTCCAAAAGTTGATTCTGTTCATCTGGACGTAGCGTTTTTGGGAGAAATGTTTCGTCACTCATCAGAGTGACTTCTTCAGTCTCAGCTGACTGCAGGTTTCCCCAAATCTTACAAACAGTACATCTGCACAATCATCTGCACTGAAACCAGCCCACTGAGGGGACAATGGGCTGGGAGGTCAGTTCCTTAATCATAATTATGCAAATTCTCATTTGCCCAATTAGAGAGACTGGACATTCATCCATCTGTCTTCTGTGTATCCAATTCAGGGCCAGCAGGCTGGAGCCTATCCCTGCTGTCATAGAGGCAGGGCAGGCAGCCAGTCTACCACAGGGCTACCACAAACAGGCAGACAACCAGCCACACTCACATTTGCACCTGTTGCCCATTGACAATAACCAATTAACCTAGCCCTCAAATCAGATTGAGATGCTTTGGCATGACCTGAGTTAAAATAAAGAGCGGGCCAATATTCCTCCACAGCAGTGTGAAAGATTCAATGCACCATACTGTTTGACAGCAGTTCTTGCTGCTGAGGGTTGCTCAAGCAGTTAATAGGTTTAAGGAATATAACCTGACCACCTAACCACAGGGCTAAGCAGGTTTGGATAACTTTTTTCCCTTAATAAATTAAATCATTATTTAAAGAGTGCATTTTGTATTTATTTGGGTTGTCATTATCTAATATTGAAATGTGATTATCTGAAGCACGTAAATGTGACCAATAGGGAAAAAAAACCCATAGAGGCATGCACACCTCTAAAACATTTCTATACACTGTGAAATTGTTTTGGTACCCCCTGAAAGTTAACACACTCGTGCACATGTGATGGTCATTGTCCACAAATCTCTTAGGACAGCCGTGAAAGACAATGAAAGACCCGTGTTTACCGAGTCTCTACAGTGAAAATTTGCTCTACAACCTCTGATACTGAACATTATCTCCATAAATCTGCTTTAAGCTGAACCAAAATGGGGTCTGAATGTAGTACTGGTGTGTGTTTTAGTTTCCATTAGATGCAACAAGTAAACCCATATGGAAAAGATCTATATAAATCTTATAAAGTTTGTATCTGTCTTGTGTTAAACTTGGATAAAAAGCATACAAGAGTGAAAACAGATATAAGATCCCTTGAAAAATTATATAAATGAAACTTGTATGTTCTGGATACTTACTAAAACAATGTATGAAAGTAATGAGAAAGTGGCCACTTTCATGAGTA